TTTGTATCACTTCTCAGAGAACATTCAAGGAAAATACACATTAACAATACAACATATAGTAGTTTAATTATTTAGGTATTAGGAGGAGCACAAGTAGCCTTGATGAAACAAAAAACCTAAGCAAATTTAAAAGAGCGAATGTTTTTCCACAGCCCTAAAAAATTGACCAATTCTGTGTAGAATTCCCGGAAAACACCAACCAAAGCAATGAAGAATTCAAGCCTAAACTGCATATTCAGCTAAATACATTTTAGGATACCCGGAATAAGAAGGCCCGTTGTAGAATAATCATAGAGTAATCATCCTGACCAATAGTTCTAAAAGTACATTCTGGCAATATTTTTGTTATATTTCGTAATCAACTTATAATTGGTTTATCTTTCCAATCTTTGTAACTTTTACTCCCATTTCCTTAGCGGCAACTAGTTTATAAATTGTCAGTTATTTAGTTCAGCTTGGCCGGCCTTACTATTAGATGGCATGCATTATTAAATAAGGTCAGTAAATAAACTTTTTGAAGCAATTTATTGCGAGCGAGTGCCCTATTCTCGATACGAAATAGTTTTCCCATTCATAGTTGAAGTTCTTGCAATGAATGCATAAAACTGTCTATAATTCAAGAAGTCCGCAAGCACATTTCTATAGAGGTAAGTGGAGCACTTTGAGAGCCACAAACTGGAGAACTTGTTTGTTAAAGAAACTGCTGAAGAAGAAGAGAAACAACAACAACAACAACATAAAATGGTCATATTACAGCCATGAACGTGTGTGTCATGTCACAGTGCATAAAAACCAATTGTAAAAACGTAAAATGAACTCAAAAGCAGATGTCTGTAAAGAAGTAATGCTGTGTGGCCCAACTATAAATATATACTTGTATGTACATATACATTTATGCATATATACATACTTATTTATCTATACATACAGATGGTCTATGTTGGCGAGAGCATGACAAGTCATCTGCGTTTGTTTTATGTATTTGTTTTGCCGAAGTGAAAGCTGGCTTTTGATAATAAAAGAACTATGCAAATAGATTTGACTTGTTTGTCGAGCATAGCGGTAGAATTAGAATTTTGCATTGAAAAGGCAAATCCAGATACGCAGATACTTATACAAATATACAGATGTAGTATATAGTATGTGGGCTATAAAGCGAATGATATGACAGACGTCTAACAGCGGCAAGCGCAAAGGTAAACACAATTACAGTCGGGTACGAAATAACATATACAACGAGCCACACATATCTTGAGCCGATATATTTTAGACCATAAATACAAATTGATCATTAATGTGAAGCTTTGCAAACAATTTTAAAATAAGTTGTTAAAGTACAGTTTCAAAGTTAAATTCTCGCACTTTAAAATTTAACTGAGCTCGTCTTATCAACGATATCGTTATGACCCAAAGTTTAAAAGACTTACAGTGCCGACTGATTTCAATCGAAGGCAGGAACATTGATACACGATACTACAATAATCAGGTATTCTGAACGACAAGTTTCCTGTTTTAGGACTGTTAGTACAACCATACCTTCAGTTATTGAACCTTGCGTTTCTTTCGAGTTTAAACTAAAAACTTTTAGTTTTTAATACAAACTGTGACACATTTTGATTAGAATCGGACATTGATTATCTTTGCTATGCATTTTTCCTTATCTCTACACTTTAAACCAACTAATAAATATATACATACTTCTACAAATTATGGCTTTGCTCGACAACTCTAAATTGCTTGTATGGACATAGGTTCTTATCTATTAATTTTGTTAATCACATTTCTAAAGAATATTAATGTCAGAATATACAAATTATTGAAAATTTAATCATTTCTAAGAAAGTTCATTTAAAATACGGAGAACTTTTACTCAAAATATAAAATAGGTTCTTGAATTTTAGATGCAAATGCCGATATATATTTTTGTTAGAAATATAGCACAATTTTGTCATACTTCTTTCCTTCAGAAACGCTTGTAGAAAACAGTTCAGTTGGAAGACAGTCTTCCCGAGACGTATTAAAACATGTCATCCTCTTTATCCTTCATTTGTATGATCGCAAGTCTTTACATTTAGTTACCGCCCACAAATGTTTTTTAAAAATTAAAACTAGTTGTTCATGCAAAACGAATACATTGAATTATTGTTGTATTATTGATTCAAACAACAAATACTTAACAAAATTGAAACAACTTTACAAAGAGAAATTTGTAAATACAAAACGCGAATGTAAATTCACTTGATCAGGAGTTTGAATTAATTATCAATTTGTAATTATTATTTTGCGCTTGGCTGTATGGTTGTAGCAAGTCGTGGGTGAGTTTAGTTATGGCCATTGAACCAACACATTTCTTACATACTCTCTTCCCCGATTTGTACGTGAATTATTCACACACTGTGGCGATTTATATTTTCTCTTGTTATTGCTATGTTGTTGTAGTTGTTCGTTTGTTTACATAAGCACAAGACATTGCCAAGGCACCGAACAGCGACGAGTGAGTGAGTGAGCGTTGTTGCTGCTATTGTTGTTGTTGTTGTTGTTGGCATTGGCCACCAATGCTTTGACAATTTTCAGCGCCAAGGCTTTTTCTATGTTTTGTCTGGCTTTCGTCAAAGAGAAATGGGAAAAGTTACACGTTTAGATTGCGCCAAAGAGGCGGGCGCAACATTTCGAAGACGCATACATACATACACAAACACATACATACATACATACATACGCACATACAAATTTATGAAGCAGAAAGTTAGGACGGGGGGTCCGTTTACGGCGGAAGCAGACGGTTCCGTTCCGTTCCGTTCAATAAACTTATGAGACGCAGCAAGCGTATTAAGTCAGAACCGCGTTAAGACAAGGGGTAATGAAATATATGCCCACAAGTCTTAAGTGCCTACAAATTATTTTAAATAAAAATGTAAAAAGTGTAGCAGAACAACGAAGAATTTACGTTTGATATGGACGGAAGATAATGTTGCCTGCAGTTATGACAACAAGTATGAGTCACATTGTGAAGGCTTTCCTAGAAGTCCAATTGCTGTGAATTGACGGCAGATTCGTGAGTAGTCTTGAAAAACCAATAAACAGACACATCATAAGCCACAAAAAAAAAAACCATTTCTGATAGGTTTTTGTTTAAAAGCTGAGCTGCAAAGTGATCCTAATTGAAAAGTCTATTGGTTTTGCTTTAGAAAATGCATTTGAAATCACGCTCTAAGGGTTTAGAATCATTTATTTAGTGCAAAAAACCGCATGAGACTTAAAGAAGTCACCTTTCGTAATGTACTTGTATGTGAATACTAAGCAGGGTATTGGAAAATTCCAACTCCAAGTGGCTTCGAAATTGGATTAACTTCCAACTCGATTTGGGAGCTCTAAGAAAGAATACAAGACAAACTGCTTTCATCGATTTGTGCAACTTGTTTTAGGGCCTGATTTATTTTATAGTATAAAACAATCACCATTTTGGAAGGCTTACAGAATATATCGATGTATTATAGAAATTTCTGAAGGTAAAGGCCACTCAAAACGAGTAATAAGATCGTGCTATATTTAATTTTCCTTGCGCCATTATTAAGTTGGTACCAAAATATACACAAAGCTGTTGGTAATCAATGAACTGCAATTTGCAACAGAAATAGCAAACAACAAGCGATTTTAAATTTGTTTGTTATTTTTGTAGCTTGCATTTGTTGTTGCTGTTGCTGCAATGATAGACAGTTTGCCATGCAAACAAACAAATGTATGTACATACATAAATACATATTTGCAGCGCATATACACGAATTGCTGGCAGGACGCCTGCAGGATGCTAACGAGCGCAGCAGGAACTTAATGCATACGCACACTTCGCACACATATAAGTCACAGTCGTGTTGATTTAGAATTTTTGCGCAGCTGTTGTTGTTGTTGTTTTCATTGTTTTGTTGCCGAGCAGATTTTGTGACAAGGTGGCACACGCCCGCCCCGTGCCCAATTGGGCGCTCAATGTATGCGCGTGTGTGTTTGTGAATTCTGCTGGTTTGCCGGCCATTTTTTTGAAGTTCTTCAGGAACAGACAGACACACACACATACATACATGCATATATATAAACAAACACATGTCTGGATGTGTGTGGGGTGGTTATTTGCTTAAATGGTGAAAATATTATGTACTTGCGAAGGGCAAAAAAAATGAACTCGAGATGCCATACAAATGACGACAACATTGACAAAATGTTTGTTCTGAGGAACTGACACTTATAGCCGTGGGGCAGTCACGACCATGGTTACCGAAAACTGTCCCGGACCCCACCCCACAACAACACTAGAAGAAAAAACAACAACAAGACAAACGTGGCAAATTCTCTTTGAACAAAATAATTATGATAATAAAAACGGCATAGGAATAAAATGCAAGGCAAGGAAAACCACGCGTTGCATAAAACAAAAAGGAGTTGCGCTCTCTTGCCACAAAGAGAGCGACTGAGGGAGTGTGAAAGAGAGCTCGTAGTCAGTGGTGCGATGGGTGGGGGACGTGGGCCACTGTTTAGGGGTGACTCTGAGTAAATAGTTGCACAACTAAAAGGTTTGCTGATGCAACCAAATATTCTCATGTTTGATTGCTAAATAAAAGTGTTTCTACCAACACGGATAACAAAGCATTTAAATATGCACTAAACAAAAGGCAGACTCTCTAATCCCCACCCCCTTCTTCCAGGATAACGCGCAAGTGAGAGCGAGCAGGCGCGCAGAGCGTAGGGATAGGCAATTTTTTTATTCCGTAGCAATTTTTTAAATTCTCCAACTTAACTAATTTTTTGGCAATGTTGCTGCTTAAGATGATTATGAAGTTGGGTTATATGAGTTGTAAGTAGAGAACGTAACAAAAGTGAAACATAACATAACGAGAGCGACATAACACAGAGGAGGATAGGGAGAAATTGAGAGAGAGCGCCGAGCGCCCGAGAGCGACACAAAACAGGAGCAAAAAGGAGTAGCCTTATATTTTGTGTGTACCTACCGGAGACAACGTTTTGATGAAAACTGCGACGATGACGACTGCGACGACGGCAACTCCTAACAGCAGCCAACGGCCCTTAGTGTAGCAATCATGTAAAATGCACTTTTCACAATTTTCTTTCGTTTGCAACAACAATACACGCACACACGAACGCGCTAGCACTTGATTGGGTGGTGTTTTTTAGTGTGTGTGTGTTTTGGAAAAGTGTATTGCACTTTACACACGATAATTTATAATACTTTATGCTCAATATTGAGCTGCTGGGCAATCGATGCGAACGCAGACAATACTCAATACATATGCTGCCTATGTATGTATATGTATGTACGTGTTTTCGTATATGAGTGTGTCTCCAAAAAAAACCGTCGTTTTTCTTATGTTTTAACACAAGCTCTACCAGCAGCTAATCTAACGCTGGATAACACTTTATGGCATTTTCTATGCCTTTTCACTGAAATTTCTCCGCCTCTTTTTGGGCTGGTTAACAGGCGGATACTAAATTGACAATTGCGCACGTTTTCGATATATTTTTGCTCAATATTACCGCTGCAACGTGAGGCTGTTGCTTTTGGCTAGACAATTAAACACTTTTTTCACTATATTTCGCGTTCGAAACACCCAATTTTTAATAATTAACGCGGAGCAGACAGCCGTCTGCATATCAGTTTCTATACATCTGCCGCATACTTATCGCATTGCTGCTATCGGGCGCGAGGGCTGTAACGTACTGTTATCGGTATCGTGCGAATGTGCAGCCGAACAGCTGGAAATGAAAAACTATCGAGTACTGGGGACTCACGCGTGTTATTGGGAATGATTTTTGTTTTGGTCAGAGTGTGGGACCTGCAATTAACTGAAATTTATTTGAAAAGAAAAATAAATAAAAACAATGTTAAAAACCGTGCGGAACGTCGCGGCGATCCCACAACTGACGCGTCAGTATACAGCAAAGGCCAAACGCAGCGTTTTGTTACAGGACACAAAAAAAATCAAAGGCAAGTTTCGAACGATTTTTCAAACTATAATTTTATATAAACTCTTTTACAATACAGACTATGAACCCAAGTTGTCGAAGAAAGCGGGACATCGCGTGTATGTGTGGGGCTTTCAAGAAACCGGTGCACTGGGACTGCAGACCGATGTCAAAAAGGCCAAGGAACGGTACACGGAAATGGTTCATCATCCGACCAGACTTCAGTTCTCAGATAACACAGATATAAGCGATGTGGCCACGGGGTATGGCTTTACAGCGTACGCAGTGCAACGTTCAGACGGCGAGACGCTGTTCGGCTGTGGTCTGAACACAGATTCTCAGCTGGGCTTTCAAGTGAAAGGCAATCCCAAAGATCCCGCCAATCTGGATGTCATCATATATCCTACAGCCATACGTTTGCCGCGTGAGAATGGCGAAACTGACGACGATATGCAGGTTCTCAGCATGTCAGCTGGACGGGCACATCTCGTTGTAGTCACCCGTAATGGCACGGTCTTTACTTTAGGCAACAATTCCTATGGTCAGTGCGGCCGATCGATTATCGATGAGGAGCGCTACAGTGGCAGTGCGCTGGTACACAGAATTTCACAGGCGGACATTTGCGGCGAGGACGATGAAATTGTGAGCGTCGAATGCGGTCAGGACCATACCATGTTCCTAACGAAGCTGGGACGCGTCTATACCTGTGGCTGGGGCGCTGATGGCCAGACGGGTCAGGGCAACTATCACACAGCGGGAAAAATAACCCGCATAGCTGGCGATATAGAAAAGGAGCGCATTGTGCATTTGGCATGCGCTTCGGATTGTGTTTTGGCCTTAAATGAGGGTGGCGATGTCTTTGGTTGGGGAAATTCGGAGTATGGACAGCTGGATGATTCGGAAAACGCCCAAACCCAAATAAATACGCCACGTGCTTTGACGCTGACAAAAGGCATTGGGAAAATCAAGAGTGTGGCAGCCGGTGGATCCTTTTGCATGGCTCTAAATACTGAAGGATTAGTTTATACCTGGGGCTATGGGATTCTTGGCTTTGGTCCGTTTGTGGAGCAGACATCAAAGCCACAGCATCTGCTGCCACCCCTTTTCGGACGCAACGACTTCAGCAATGCCACGACAGTTGTTTCCATTGGGTGTGGCGTCTTCCATATGGGCGCTGTAAACTCCGATGGTGATCTATTTATGTGGGGCAAGAATCGATTCGGGCATCTGGGATTAGGACATAAAAAGGACCAGTTCTTCCCCTTCAAGACGGCTATTAATGGGAAGGCGATTAAAGTATCTTACGGTGTGGATCACACAGTGGCCCTCTGCAGGCCATACATATAGTTTATAATCCATTGATAATACGAATGTTTGTTCTCCATAATAATTAATAAATGTTGCACTTGTTTTAAGATCACAAATTCGCGTTAAATACATTTAATTTTTTTAAAGAACATTTAGATTAAATTATGGGTTCCATTTGTCTTTGATAGTTTGGTTTTGTGATTTGTTTATATGTAAATAGATTTGTAATTTTGATCTATACATATTTTTGTTCTTACATATGTATTTTGGATAGTTTATTAAAGAGCGTATATATAAAATATGTATGTACTTGGAATAGAATGCATTTTGTCCATGTATGTATGTCTGGTTGTTTGTTAAAGGGAGAGGATTTACCAGTAATCTTTTAATCTTATTGCTATACAGAAAGTTTGCTGTAGGGCTCTGTTAGGCTGCACAATGATTTATTAACTGCATCTTTAAAACATTTCTCCTTTTGCACATTCTACGCACGTATGTATTTGTCACAATTTCTTCATCGCATTGATTTGCTTTCTAGGTACAATATTTTCATCTCTTACTAGGATTTATGTTTTAATGTTTTGTTTTCGGTTTGGCCAATGATTTACACAAAAAATTGATGTACAGAATATTTGATAAGTAAACAAATTACGTTGTCAGCTTAGGATATGCTACATGAACTCGATTTATAGCAATTATTGCTGCTCTGGCTGGCTACAGACTACAAAATGAGGAGGAGTGCAGCTTACAGATAATGATTTTCATTTAGATATATCAAATACAAGTTCCTTCATTTGTATTTCGCTGTTTATATAATAAATACGTTTAAAACATTTTTGCGGCAAGCACTAACGGAATAACTTAGGCTGCCTGGGCCTCGTAGGCCGCCACCTCAGCGATATTGGCAATATCATACTCGATGACACCCTTGCCCATGAACTCGGCGAACTTTCCAGAGTCGGGCAGTGGCTCAGCTGAGCGCTTGGCAACTGTAAAAGACAAAGAAAACAATTAAAACCTTATTGGGAAATACTCGTAGAATACTTTGCTTACCTCCCGAAACGAAGCGCTCCATCATGTAGACTTTCATGTCGTAGCATTCGTTGGCAATGCGCTCCGAGATGAGGGACAGATCGGTGATCCTTGGCGTAATAACACGCATATTGCGACGCACGCGTTCCGTATCGATGTTGTAATAGCCTGAGCCCATTTTCTGCACCAAATCCACAATGCTGCTGGGCGGCAAAGTCGTATCCCGATCCAGAGGCATGATAAAGCAACGATTGTTCGTGGTATCAATAATGGCCGACTGATTCTCCTTGAAGTCGTGCATAAAGCGACCACGTCGTCCGTCCTTGAAGTCGGGCACATCGATTTTGGCATAGCTATCATCATCGCTGCTATCCAGCTCGATTTCTTCGCGGAAGTAATTATCATCGACTATGGATTCGAATGGCATGTTTCCGGAGTTACTGCTGCCCGTCAACTGGGGCAGAAGTGAGCGCCAGTTTAGAGAGAAGGCATCATCGTTGCGGGCATAGAAACGCGGCATTTCGGTCGAGTCCTCGGCATAGGGAATGTCGCATAATGCATGATAATGCATGCCGGAATGGGCCGGCGTGTACATCCTGTACAGCGTCCAGCCACCCAAAACGCCCATCATCATCACAATGATGGCAATGAGGAACAGCAAAAACGACTTCACGCAATGGTATTGCGGACGGTTGAAGACCATAGACTCTGTATCGGCATCGCTGTAAGCAATCTTTGGCTGCAAAAGTAAAGGTGTAAGAAGGTACAAAGGTAAAAAACGTTCAACTCAATCGTGTACATATACAATGTGTATACATTTATATTCATATGTATGTATGTATGTATATAGAATGTACACATCGGTAAACAACAGTTATTGGACTCGTAAATATTATGACTAATTGATAAGACCTCGTTGTGTTCAAAAGCGTTTCCAAAACAGTGCCATTTCGATAATTTGCTAGATAAAGGGGCTGTTGGAAGGGAGTTTTCAGTTCTAGTTGTAAGCCATTTGGCTGCTGGCACAAGATTTAAATTAATGATAATTAACTGAACTTTAAAAGCTGATCTAGAAAGCTGCGTTTAAGCACGCAATGGGCGTAAGATATACATATGAACGTATACTATACCATGAAATGCGATTTAGCTGACATACTGTATTTACAGAGGCATACATATGTACGTTATATACGCATACATAGACTACCTTAAATGCATGCATGTATGTATGTATGTATTTAAATTTTTTATCGCTGTGTGCAAAGTGCAGAAAATTTTCCAAGCTTTGATGAAATGCGCATTTCAAGTGCTGGCTTGACAAAAATACTTTCCTCATGCGACATATAGAAATATGAATACAAATCAATAAAACTCAAAAGAGATACAAAGGGCCCATATAAAAGAAAAGCCACACAGGTGCAATTAATAAAATCAAAAAGATAAAAACCAAGCCACTTGCGAGTATGTACCACATACACATATACACTTGAGGTTCAAGGCCAAACAGGCATGAACACATACACGTCTTGGAATCAACAGGACCACATTTGGCTACACTAACGAAGCAATAAAGGAAAATTGCTTTGGGAGGGGGTGGAAAAACCAAACAAGTGAATGAAAATACGTAATGGGGGCATGTCGCTTTGCAACACAAGGGCAGGGGGCAGGGCAAGTGGTAGGGGTTGGGCAGCCTTTGCGTCAATTGTCAATGCAAAAGGTTCGTGCGCGCCCCGTATTAGCACAAGAGCAAAGGAAAGAGTGCAAGGACATTGGGAATTCCAGCATTGAAAAATCAATAAATATGCAATGCTGTCGTGCACAGAGACGTTCACACATACATACCCATACGTGTGTGTGCGTGTACAAACGAAAACGAAACTCGCGCTTGGGCGCTCTGAAGGCAAGGCTCAAGGGAAAGTGACAAGGCTAACAAGGACAAACACGATTGCGCAAAATGAAAACAATTGTGCAAAATTTTTCTACAGTCTCACATTTCCTGCTTTAGTCCCAACTTACACTGATTAGCGAGCCATGATGCATCATGGCTTCATCGTTCAGGTGCAAAGGCAGCTTGTCTAGGTCCTTTTTTTCACCTGTCAGTTTGCCTAAGATCGTCATTGTTGTGTGGATTGCGTTTTACTTTTTGCTTGTTTACTGTTCGACGGTAAATTTTGTTTGAAATTTTTTCGATGTTTGAATAATTTTAATAGCCACAATATTTGATTATTTGCCCGAAACGCCCGAATTCGATGATATATTTAGTTTTCACAACTTTTCACAAATGTTTTGCCTGCGCAGCAAGAACTGCTGAGTACAAGTACGGTAACTATTAAAGCAGCACAGTGGCAGACGTTATCGAGTACAAATGCCCTTTCGATACCTGCGGCCAATGTCTACACGCCACTTATTTTTTTTGTGTTTCAGCTTTTTATTTTCAAATGCTGGAAGATTTATACTGTACTAGTAACTAGACCCTTATATCTACATGTGTGTATTCCACAGCTACTATTTATGACTATGTTGGTTGGAGAGGAACGCCAAGTGGCCCTTGGGACACTTGTTGGCATAGTGGCCCTTGTGGCCGCATTTGTAGCAGGTGATCTCCTCCAGCGGTGTGGGTACCTTAATGTAAGGCGGCGGTCCCTGGTGATTGGGCGCACCATCATCGTTGCCCTCGCCGCCCTGCTCCATATTGTTGCGATGCTCCAGATTACCAACATACTGTTTGCACGAGTTGGCTTTGTGGCCCACTTCGCCGCAGCAATGGCAGGTGGGCTGTTTCTTGTGGTCCTTGCTCAGTTCGGCCAGGGGTGGCAGTTCGAAGCGCGGATGCATGTGCTTGCAATTGGGCCCCTCCGGGCAAAAGCCGGCCAGATAGTTCATGCAGAGCACACGTCGCAAATGCTGATGCCGGCAGTTGGGACCATGACGACAGAAGCCACGTTTGTACCAGGGACAGTCCTTCACCTTGCTCTGCGGATCGATGTGCAGGAAGGGGCACTCCTTGTTGTGGCAGGCATTGAAGCGCGAGTAAAAGTAACACTCCGGCATTTTGGTCATATCGTACTCGTGCAGGAACTCGCACTGGTCGCCCTTCTTGCAGAGGCCACGCAACCAGTGCTTGCAGACGATGGTGCGATCGCCGCGAATGTGTCGGAACGGGCAGGCACTGCCCTTGTCGCACTCCGTGCCGTTCTTTGTGATGAAATTGCACACGGCGGCGATTGATTTGTCCATGCCATAGAACGGCAGGGGAATGGCGCCAACCTGTTCGATGAGGTCGCGCTCCGCCTTGAACTGCAGGTGGTTCACATTGGCCAGCAGGATGTCCATGATGCGAAATGTCAGACAGCCTACCTTCACAAAACACGTAGTGAAATCGCACAAAAATTTTGCGCGTGCAACAAACAAAACGCAAGCTCAATGTGACCGTTCACTTCGACGCTCATCAAATCAGCACCGTTACACGTTTGCCAACACTAGTCGCTGCATTTGTTTACAATGCAACGTAAACGCGTCAGGCTAAGGTTAAGTGGTTACAGTTACTTTTATTAATTGGGCTTAAGCGTGGAATTGAGCGCGTGTGAAGAATGAGCAGTAGACGCATCGACTGAATCCCGGCTCCGTCTCCCTCGCCATCATGCTGCCCCTCAACGATTCCAAGTCGCGGGTGCTGCTACGTCTGCCATTCGCCAAGCTGGCTGTGACTGCTCTGATTCTGCCACTGGGTGCCTTCTTTTTTTGTGTCATCTGGTCGCTGACGTTTGATTTTGTGCGCTCCACATTCACGCACTGTGACGTCTCCAACTACTTGCCCTCGGTTTCGGCCGCAATTGGAAACTATGAGCCACAGAAGACTGTTTGGCGGTTGGCCATCTTTCTGCATCTACCGCTGCGTCTGTCAGTGGCGAAAATGTATCTAGGATATTACAGGGATCACATCAAACGCAACCGCCGTATGTTTGGCATCTTGGCCTGCACTTTAAACATTATCGAGAATTTCGCACTCTTCTGCCTCTCGCTATGGACATCGGCTGACAACTACGAGATACACCGGAACTCGTTTGTTGTGTTCATAGCCTGCAGTGAGTGCTACATGCTGATCTCGTATCTGTTAAATAGGAATGCGCGCAAGATGAATTTGATGCCGCGTGAGGAGAAGTCGTTGCGATTCAAGCGAAACCTGTTCTTCATCAATGTGATCGCATTTGGATTGGCCGGTTACTGCTTTGTGCGGCACAATAATCGTTGCGAAACGGGCGGTAAATCTATTCATAATAATCTCTTCTAAAGCTGGGAGTTAATTTTTGGTAACTTTGCTTCACAGTCTACACCTTCTTCGCGCTTTTTGAGTATATTGTGGTGCTGACTAATATGGGCTTCCACATGACAGCTTATTGGGACTTTTATGGCCTAAACGTAGTACTGGATGCCAAGGATGGGATCTATTTATCGCATTTGTAGTTAGCAACACGAGCAATCCTTCCTTCATTTGTATATATGTACGCGGTATTAGCTTAAGCTCAAAGTTTACTTAATTTTAAACCAAATAGTAGCATTTTTTATTTGCAATAGAATAGTTGGCTATGAGCACACATTTTCAAATATTGTATTAAATACTTTTCTTATCAAATTCGAGATGGTGGGCGTTTCTGGAAATAAAGTTAAATTGCTGCCGACAGATACAAAGGATGAAACATTGGCTTCACCCTCGCTGTTTCGCATATCAGTCGCGCATCTGCTATTGATTGGTTTTTCCATACCACACATCGCATTGGCATACTTCCTCATCATGACTCTGCTGACGGACTTTGAGAATTCAAACTACACACATTGCAATGTCATCAATGTGATACCGTCCATATCGGCAGTGGCCAAGTCCCAACAAACGAGCTTGCGGGTGGCTACATGGTTGCATTTTCCCTTTCGTTTGCTGGCAATCAGACTCTATTGTAGCTATTTCCGGAGGAAGCTGGCGCGTCCAGTGCGCAGCATAGGCTACCTGGCTGTATGGTTTCTCATTTTAGAGACCTTGGGCAGTCTTGTGTTATCGCAAACGGCTCAGATTGGAGGGGAAGAGCCTGTGCATTTGCTAGCTGCTGGCCTGATTTGGATATCAGGTTGCCTTTTTATGGCCACAACGTTTGTATGTTACAAATACTACCATCGTGACATGATGGAACCCATGGAGGAACTGTCGTTTAAAGTCAAAACCAGACTAGTTTACACTTACTTCTGCAGCACACTGATAATGTGGTTCTGGTATTTCGTACACAATGCAGTTTGCTTGCCATTTGGTTTGTATATGAGTAGCAAAAAATTATAATCCATTTATATACAGCTCCTCTTTCTTTTCGGCAGCTTATTCCGTTTTCTCGTTGTGCGAATACGTTACCATCTGGACTATGATGAGCTACACCTGGACCTGTTACTTTGATTTCTACCATGTTTACCTTATGTATAGCCCCAAGATGGGTTATTTTATGAGCGAAATATAGACAAGCTTTGTAAATGGTACAACAAAATATATATTTAAACTTAAGTCTCATAAATGCGCACCAAATCATCCAAAGTTATGGGATAATCCGTGACTGGGCAGGAGCCATGCTCCTTCAAATACGTCACAATGCATTTCCAACAGTAAACGTAGCCGGATACCGCGCAGGCTGTGGGCGTCTGTATTCTAAGCAGGCACACGGGGCATTCGCCCTGCTTGGGCAGAGTCTTCTTCACTTCATCCGGCAACTGACGCTCCGGCATGGGCTCCGGATTCTGTAGCGTACCACCCACTTTCCGTCGTTGATCGTTGGAGTACCACCATTGTACGAACTGCAGGAAGAAGGCAAGCACTTCCAGCATTTTTAGAAATATGTACGTCCATTTGTCCTCTGTGGGAGGCTCACGGGGATAGCGCAGGGTGAGACGCAATGCACGAAAAATGGGCGAATGGCTGGCAGAATATTTAATCAGGTATAGAAACGTATGCACCGCTCGTGACGCGTTGTAAATGTGAAATAATTTGATTAGGTGGGACTCCCATGAAAAAGTTTCCTCGTGATGCGCACTGCGAGCCTTCAGTTTCCGCTCAATGTACGGCAAAAGTGTCAAAAGGGTAGCCGATTTGAATTGCTGTGGGCGTGTCAGGGGTTCCCCTGTCTTCGTGTCCGTTCTCTGCAGGCCATAGAAGCTCTCCCCAAATGAGGATGCACGTTTGCGCAGATACAGGTACTGAAGTACCCAAGTGACTACCGGCGAAAATTCCTCACGAAAATGCAATTGGCCCCAGAGCTTAAAGTCCAAACGTAGACCAAAGTAATCAAATACTTTGCTCAGTGCTGGGTATATTAAGTTGTCTAGGGTTTCCGCTGCAGATATTTCAAATATCGAGGGCACATTTTGGAGATTTTGACGCACGTTGGCTGCCTCGGCCATGTCCTTTCGCTCTATTTTTTACAAATTCAGCATCAAAGTAATCCACCCACACAACAACAAATCCAACTCTAACTGTTATCTGCGAAGCAACAGCTGAGGGAGAGCTGCCAACTCGCTGTTATTCCTAGTTCTGTCTGGTAGTGCAGTAAGAAAATTATTTTACTGTTACTACAACTTATTTCATTCATTACAATTTTATCAACCTATTTATTAGTTTTCTGCGTTTTGTTCAGTTCTTGAATAGTATTGAAAAGCTTCGTTGGAACGCTAACTATAATTAAAAATTGTGAATAATCAACCTACTCTTTTTTACAAAAAAAGAAGAGTTTTTAAATAAATCTAATAAAATAATATTAGCTAAGCAGAAAAGATAGTGAATAAAAATAAAATATAATAATAAAACTAAATAAAGAAAAAGTCAGCAGTTTAATTGAACTTAAGCTTATTCGAATGAAGCATTACAATCGCGTTGGCAGCGCTTATTTATGTTGTACCTGTAAGGACGCCACCGCGGCGTATTAAGAAACGTTTGTTATTATCTAAAAGCAATGAAAACCTCGGGTGGTGGGGCTTCGGAGGAGTCTAGCAAGTCATCCCTGAGTAAAGTGAGCAAGAAAGCCTCGAATAAATCTCGCTCCAAATCCACCAAACTAGACACTGGCAGACAAAGTTCAGCTGCCGGTGTTGCAATTGCTAGTCTGCCTGCCACGCCCACACATGTTAATGTGGTGACAACGCCCACCACGCCGACCACCAGTCTGGGCGCCTACAATCTGTTTGATGCATCCTTTGCCGTAGTCGGTGGTCACAATGTAGAGCCATCCAGTAATTCCAGCAGAGTGGTGAGAAAAATACAAACAAAATTGAATTGTTTTTGAATTCATACGTTTGGCAGAGTCATCACAAGAGCTATGCCGGCTTTGACCCGCGCAGCATAAAGATCTTTTGGGAGCAGCATGATCAAACGGATGTGGAGCTGCCACAGGAAGTGTGCGCACGTCTAGCAGAGGACGCCTCCTACAAAGTGTGGGAGCTCATAAATGTGTGTAAATAAGTACAGATGTTGTTGGTTTATTGCATGCTTATTGATTGTTGTCTGAAATTGTAGAATGTTAAAATATCATCGCGACATTCGGGTGGCATTGTTACCTATGATCTGGTCAATGAAGTGTTAAAGGATGCGGATGTTCCACCCATGCTGGGCGCCATGGATAGTGATTGGGATCGCATTGACTACGATGGCAGCTATTTCTTTTACTCGGACAAAATTTTCGACCTACGCGAGGAGTTTCAAAAGGATGTGTTACTCTCTATGCCCGATAGTGCGGACTTTCACTGCTTTTGTCCAGTAGAGGACAAAAACGCAGATCAACTAAAACAGTTTCTGCAGAGTCTAGTAAGTGGTAAGAATTATATACATAGATAAGATTAAGCCGTCTCCGATTAATATTTGTCTATTCTGCAATTTAGCGTCTATCTTTGGCGATGTCAAGGCTCAGGCAACGGCCATTGCGTCCGCCTTCCAAACACCGCTAATGGGCGCCTGCTATCGTGTGATTGTCGGCAAAATAATGCAACTGCTGGCCTTTAGACAACAGGATGGCGTGAGTCAACGCTGTTGGCGACTCTTACGTGCATGCAACTACAATCCACATGCCAACCAAATTGGTTGTCGTCAAGAATACTTTCATTTGGCAGAGGTGCTCATCAGTCAGCTTATGGCGCCCTATGAGACCATAAAAGTTCCGGAATTTAAACCTCAGTGCACACAGGAGGCCGCCAATCCGACAGCGCTGACAAACGTTAAAATGGAAATTGAGGATGAGCTTAAGATAGAATCCGATCTCACCAACGAAGCACAAGCTGAACAACAGTATTCGAATCAGGGCATGCCGATTGATCCTCAACAACAGCAGCAACCACAGCAAGCGCCCTCCACATCGGAAGCGAACTTTGCTGGCGCCGGCCCCTCATCTCAGGAGGAGCAAACCATTTACAAACTGCAGCTGGACGATGATAGCGATGAGGTCGAGCAGCAGGAGCAGGACACGCAGCAGCTTTCCCCGTTCTTTGCTAGCCCAGTGGGTAACGCTTATGTGGATGAGTTATGCGAAACCATTGGCCACTTGGCCTCGCAGAGTGGATATCTGCAGTCCGAGTGTTTGTTCCTCATAAAGCGACGTTTGGCGCGCTTCTTTGAGGGTCGCGAGGTGTGCAGCGAAAGAGGTATGCATCAATGGCGGTGACCCTTCTATCGAATAAATTTCCTTTAAACATAAAATTTATACTATCTTCTTTAGATTACAAGTATATTAGCCGAGCGGTCCGTGGTCTGCTTGCCCTGGGCGAGTACGCTTTTCGTGAATTTATACCCTATATATACAAGCTGAATGTGGCCGATATACCTGAGAGTCTGTGGCAGGATTTTGCGCCCGCTGCCATCTTTCTGAATGGTCGCGATGATATTTATTTGTATGAATGGCTGGAGTATGGCTTGGGAGCAGACAAGCTGCAGCCATTCCTGGTCCACTATGCCCGTAAATTTTACACCCATGTGTTCAATTGGCGTCTTAAAAAATACATTTTTAATTCATTGCAGGGACCTACGAAAAACAGGTAACGAAACGCTATTTGCTAGCGAAACCGGCCGCTTATAAAATATATGCCAAGCCAGGCGTAAGACGTCTGGAGTGGAGCACATTGGCGGCCGCCATGTGCCATGGTGATGATCCTAGCAAGGCTATCAAACCGAAGCCCACATTGCGCGAAGCTTTTCCTGAGCTGTCGACACCAAATCTTCAACTCAACTGTGCTGGCACCATACGCTTTAAGTTCGCCGGCTGTCGGCCCGTGTTGTTGAAACCAAAGGGTGTTGCTGCCACACATTTCATGGACTCGCCCTCTACGAACGGTGGCAGCGACATCGTTCACAGCGACATACTCATCGCCAGGCGTAAGCTTTTCAAGCCGCTCACCAATGTGAAGCGAGTAGTGCCCATTAGTGGGTATCACTACTTGCGTATATAAGACGCAAACACTTAATAAAGCATTTTTTTAAAACAGTTGACAATTATATTGTAAGTTTCTGAAAAGGCTTAATAATTGTGTAAAGTTCAAGACATTTAACGTGTCGCTCAAATTAACTTAAGTTTTATTAACAAATCTATAACATTACGACTAGAAGGCCTCTTCTTGGGGCGGAGGAATGCCCGCCTCTTTCATTTCCTCCATGATTCGTTTGTTTATAATATTCTTTATATTTGCATTCACATTTGGCAAGAGGCCACCAGTTCGAGCTGCATGCTCGATTCGCTGTACAACACTTATCTCACGCCTCGAAGATATGAAATTAGTCACCATTGAATGGGACAAGTCGCCAACACGGCCAATGCGTCCGCATCGATGGATGTAGTCCGAGACATGCAGTGGAAAATCAAAATTGACAACATGCCGTGCTCGCGTCGTATCTAAGCCACGACTACCCACGTCTGTGGTGGACAGTACATCGCATTCGCCTCGCTGGAATTGCTCGAAACGACCCAAGCGTATCTTCATAAGCATATCTCCATTAAGATTGAGGCAATTGATGCCACTGTTGTTCAAAAATATGGACACATAATCGCTGGTGGCCGATTTGTTGCTAAATATAATAAGAGGACGGTGCTTGTCGCACTCTCGTTTGGCGAGGCTCAGCAAATTTGCTGGTCGATCTGCTTTGGCCATGCGTAAAAATTTCTGTTTCACATGCGGCATCAAATGATGCAAGTGTGGACTAACCACATCGCGTATCGTCTCCACATCGATGATGCGCTCTAGAATCTCGCGTGTGTTTGTTGGCATGGTGGCCGAGGCAAGCAACAGTTGTGTGCCCACTGTGTGTGCATCTTGTACGTGGTTTTTGTGGAACTGCAATTGTATTCCAAAATAATAATTATAATCATTTTACAAGCTCGCAAACTTACCGGGAATCTTCGCAAGAAATAGCACAACTTATCCGTAAAAGAGTCATCTAGCAGCGTATCCGCCTCGTCCAAAACGACATGCCGCACCTGCTCCATGCGATAGATGCCCGTGGTTACCAGTTTGCTGACAGCGCCCAGTGTGGCTACCAGTATGTCGATATCCTCAAACTCTGGGGTAAGCATCAGCTGCTTGGTGTTGCCACCCAGCAGCGCTTTAACCTTAATATCTGTGTCCTTGCACAGCTTCTCGGCTACGTTTGCAATTTGCGTAGCCAGCTCACGACCTGGCGTTAGTATAAGTACCCGTGGTGTATTGAAACGTCTTTCGACCGTGTCCGAACGACGTTGCAACAGTTTTTCCACAACGGGCAGCAGGTAGGCCAGCGTCTTGCCACAGCCCGTCTCCGCCGCTATCAGCGCGTGAAAGCTGTCATAAACAATGGGAATGGCCTTGGTTTGTATGCCCGTCAGCTGCTGGATGCCCAGTTCGTTTCGTAGATTGTCAAGCAGCTGTTGGTGGAATTCTAGCCGGCTGGTGCTCACAAAATCGTCCAATCCCTGCATCTCTTGCGTCAGCTGCTCTTGCGTCACAGTCGCATTAAGTATAAAGTGATCGCCCTTAGACTTATGGTGCAGCCAACCTTTGGAGCAGAGCTCCAAAGTTCCAAATTTTGCATCTGCTCGCTCATGTTGCAACAGATTGAATTGTGTGCGCCGGCAGGTGATGAGAGGCAGTTGTTTAGGATTACGTTCCTCACGTGCTTTTGCTTTGGAGGGTACTGTTTTTGGTTTGGCAGCTGTAACGGCGCTGGTGAATTGCCGACGCAGCAAGGGGGTAAGTTTATGCAGCATCCTCAGGAAGACTTTCAACTACTTGTAGTTCTCCTTGTTTCTTGTTGATGTCTGTCCACCAACATTCGGTTACATTGCCGGCTAGGGCTGCCAACCTAGCTGCTTCATCAAAGCTGACATGTGATGGTTGCGAATATCGATTAATCTGAATATCGATATGCGTAGCGTTATACAGCAGTTAGCTTATGAATTCGAATTGTTTAAAAATCAACATATTGTATTAAATAAATGCTTGTATTCAATTTAGTGTTTTCAACAAAAGCTTCAAAAGCTTAATTTAATATAAATATTAGATCAGTTCGACGAGATAAGCAAATGTGTCTTACAATATGGCTCTCCTGACAAATGCAATTATTTCTTACTAGCACACTTGGCTTGCAATATACATTATTAAATGTGTTTATAAAGGAATCAAATTTCAATTCTAATTTGCATTATTGCTAATTGCAGTATTGCTAATTGTTTAATTGGATACTTCGGACTTATAATAAAGTATTAAAATCGCACAAAATTTTAATTAAACGTGTGCTGCGTTTACAAACAAATGATTCCTTATTTTTTTGCTTTTGGATAAAGGGGTTTTAGCTCTTTTCTACATTTCAAATTTTCAGCCAATTGCCAAAAAACTTTGGAAGATGTAAGAAGATGTAGAAATTTCATAAGCTGTAAAGTTCTATTAGTTAAATATTATCCGTATTATTTTAAGCTTTCAACCGTTAGTTCTTTTTCTTGACAGTTTCCGCATATTGAAATTTTCAAAACGTGGCTTCGTAAACCATTTTTAAATGACTTCGCCATCTTGTTGATCCTTTTAGTGAGGGTTTCTCCTTGTTTTGTCATAAAAGTCTGTGCAGCCTGCTTATGCGAATATGCAGAATTTTAACACTTTAATCATTGGAATTGCAAATTTTGCGGCCGACTTGAAGAAGATGTGCATACATATGTCAAAAGCAAGCGCAAGCACATGTTAACATGGCCCATAACACAGACACACTCATATGTATGAAGAGGCATGCTTGACTGTCATCAAAAAGGTAGCGGCAGCACAGCTGGTATTTAGCATATTTTAGGCGGCCCAAAACTACAACGGAAAAAAGAAACATAAATTAAAATTCCGTCTAACCCCAAAAAGAACAAAACGAACAAATAATTTGGGTCGAAATCGCTTTTATATCGCTGACATGCCCCCGACATTTGTTAGCACTGAAAACATTATTCGTTGAGTTCAAAAAAGGGAACGTTGAGATGCCCTCAACGAAATGGAGCTTTTATTGCACGTAAATAAAGTCATAAAGTCATCATTAATGCCTGACAAGAACGATGACAATGAGCCGGCGGAACCAACGGAACGACAAAGTTTTGTGGCAGTGGCTGTGGTGGTGGTGCTGGTGGTGCTGGCAATGGCAGTGCCAGTGGCAGAGCAGAGCGATAAAAACCCCAGCAAATGTGCACAAATTACTTAAAACATATTAAAAAGAGTGTGTGTGGAATCTACCTTTTTACATTTTGTTCAAAACGTTGCAGAAATTAAAAGCTCTCCACAAACTTAGCACACACACACACAGGCTTCAAGTGACGCTGCTCGTTGTCATAGCAACCAAAACAACAACAAGAACAACAACAACAACAACAACAATCAGTGCTGTTACATCTACAATAACATTATTCATCGCCCCGTAGTGTCCTGTCCGTTGGCTGCCACGTTTTTATACTCGCACTATACTCGTATATGCGCATCAAAACGGAGCGAAACTTTAATGCAATTTTATGTGCATTTTTGTCACTGCAATATGAGTAATTTTTAATGTTATTGCTAGGTGCAAGGAATGGTTGTGCGACGCATAAATATGTAAGCAACAATGCTGTACATGAAAAAATTACAGCTCTCGATGTTACACTTGAAAAAACACGAAGTAGCGGCATCTGTCATGGGCGTGAATAGTTGAATGACATCTGAACATATAGTACATACACATTCGTACATTCAGAGAAAAATATATCTATATCTATGACTATATATGCATATATAACTTCTGCGTTTGTTGTATCTGGTATAAAATAGGGCTGGACTATTTAAAGGCATATAGTGTGTTAGTAGAATACGTAACTGTATTATCAATAATGGAAAATATAAATCCTATATTATATATATCCTATATGTAGCCTACACTGTGTCTTACAAGTAAAGTTTTCTACATTGTCAGCTTTCATTAAAAAGTATTTTGTACTAATTTCGCATTTAGTGTTTAAATAATGTTAAATGTTAATGACAATGTTTTGTCACTATTTGCGGCCAACCAGAGATGCAAGTTCATTATCAGAGTATATAACATTTTACTGCCATTTGTTCCCCATATTTATGTGCAAAGATTTATTTATTTTAATATTTATATACAGCTTAAAAGTTATTGAAAAAACAATATATCTTTACAATAATAAATATAGATAAAATATATAAAATATAATAAATGAAAACAGAAATAGTTATATAAGCTCATTTTACGTCTTATCGCCCCAACCCACTTATATTTAACCCATGTTTCTACTTCATCTTAAGATCAATTTTTTTTATAATTTTAAAAGTAAATTTATCTGTTTTTTGTATTGTAATGTGAAATGACGAGTTTGTTTTTTTAATTTTTCAACAAAAATGGTGCTCGTTCAGGCTTTCTTTTTAAAAATAAACCAACTTCCCTTTTTATGCATTTTAAACATTTTTTTTTATGGTTTTGTTGATTTAAGAAGAATTTAAAACACCACCTCTGCCGATTTCTACTCTATTAAGAAACGCATTCTGTCATATTTATATAGGTATACTATATATAAAATAATAATTAATTTTTTTTTTCATCGATTCATCGAGAACACATCGATCCTTTTTGTCAACTTCAGAGGAAAGTTTCTAAAATTTCAAATAAATATAACTACACAATATGCACTTTAAAGCTAAGAATAGTTTTTGGTGCTAGCTAGGCTCTTTTTAAAGATAGATCTATATTTCGTCGATTGAAACTCATACTGTTTCATAAAATAATCCTTAGTGGTAAAAAGTTCAACTATGTTAAGTAAAGATATCCATTTATTTATTAGTGGAATAAAATAATTAGTGGGATAAATTGCATATAACAACAAAAAGTATTGCGTATTTTTGTTGTAATTAGAAGCGCGTTGTTGGTATTCCTATTGATTTCTATTTGTAATACATATGTGAAATATATATGAAATATTTTCCACTCTGCTTAATATATGGATATTTGTGTAAGCGTGGTAGCATTTACAGCCTGGCCAACATGATGATGATCCTGCATGGCAAATCCATTGCTCTTAATTGACACGCCGCTCCGAATCTAAACTGATTAGCCGTTGCCTTTGTGCATAAATTTGCAGCTGATGTTGAAATATCGTGCATACTACTTAGTATGGCAAAAACAACATAGCGGCGAAAAATGGCCAAATTCTGCTGGCCAAATTGTTTGCGCCTTCCACCAATATGTCATTTTTCGTCTGGGTGTAGGCTTTGAATTTTCGACATTTGCGGTTTGCAGCGAGTAATCGAATAAATCACTCTTGGCCGCTGTTTGCGACCGTACATACATGTTCCTTTAATGCCTTAATTAAGCAATTAGGCAAACGCCAGTGTTGTAGAGTTTTCCAAATGCAATGCAGCTCTGCTGCTGATTTACATGAGAAGTTTCTGTTGTTTTGCATACTGCCAGCAGCAATCGCCCGTCCGTCCGTCCGTCCCTCTGTCTATCTGTTGATTTTATTGAAATTTTGTGCATGGAATATTTTTGAATTTCGCAAATGCTGTGCTCTGTGTGCGATCGTGTATGCGAATATACTATATCTGTGCGTTTGCATGCGTGTCAGTGTTAATGCCTAAATTTGATAAAGCATTTCTGGCCCGGCTTTCATCCAGCCAGGCCAACAGCAACGGCAACTGCATGGCCGATGTCAACACTATATACAAGTACATAGCAACGACAGCAACATCACTTGACGACATTCACAGAGCTTCGTTCGTAGTTGTTGTAATTGGTGTTGTTGTTCTTGATGTTGTTGTTGTTGTTGTTGCTGGTAGCTTCAACCGCAGTGTGTGAAATGCATTTAAAATTTTCTGTTGCATACTTGTCAGCGTCAAATTGCATTACGTTGAGTGTCGGTCGCTTTTGTGCATACATCGTTCCATGCATATGCATGCCTGCGGGTGAATGTGCGTGTGTGGGCGTTTGTATATGTGTGTGTGTGTGTTTGGGTGCTCCGCATGCTCTACAATTCTTAAAGGTCCAATCTTATCGTTGTGATTGCAAACCTATTTGCTTACAATAGGTTCAAAACCGACAGACTACTTCCTTATAAAAGACAATCCCATACATATCACAATGTAAGTACGAGTATGCATACATATATATAGTCTGCGTGTGGTATTAGTTTAGTGTTTAAGCATTTATGTGCTTAATATATTAATTAAACTTGAAGCCCGTACAAGCAGCCAGCTTGTTGGGTCAAAATTTAAATTAAATTTTAATCTGTTGCTCATATATAAACAGCTTTTTCCGTTCCCCCTCTCTATCTCTCTCTTTTTCATTCCCCTTTTGTCTATGTGGTTGTGAGCTTTAGCCACACTATCATCATTATTGTTGTTGCTCTGCCTTTTATTTCTATATATGTATGCATGTGTGCATACTTACAAACAATATGCGTATTATGAGCTTAAAATCTGACGCATAAACTGCAAAACTTTGCTTTAAGTCTCATGTGACTTTAAAGTGTTGAGATTGTTATTTAAATGTTTACATCGTTCGGTATCTCGCATAGGGCTTAGCACTGCTTTGTTGTTGACTTGTCCAACTAAACTATTGATTACGTTATTTGCTTATCAAAAACTCTTTACAGACTTAATTGAAAAAAGAGTGGGTTTCTCGCAAAGGGCTTAGCACGGCTTTGTTGTTTAATTGTCCAGCTAAACTATTTATTACGTTATTTGCTTATCAAAAACTCTTTATAGACTTATTTGCAAACAAAAAAGTTGAAAACTGCTGCAATAAAAGAAAAGTTTTTATA